ATATTAATACACTAATAACGCTTATCCTACTCCTAGTTAGTGTTGTTAAACGGCTCGTTTTGAGCCGATTTTTAATAACGGCCAACTCAATACTTCATCTAGAATAATATTACGCAAGTCTGAAGATTTTGTTTGTAGAAGGAACAAAGGTTTAGCCATCTATTAGCGAAATCTCGAGGCTTAGGTAATATTTTTCTGGCTAAAATATTGAATTAGCCGTTTTTAAAAATCAGCTCAAAACGAGCCGTTTAATAATACTACTCCTAGCTAGGGGTGGGACCAATACCAATATAATATTGGTTTACAATACCAATACCAATATCAGGGTTTCGAACCGTTTAGTATAACGGTTCGGTTCGTTCCGGTTTTTAGTTTAAAATTTTATAAAGGTTTTGTTCCATTTCGGTTTTTTAAAAAAAAATCATATCGGTTCGGTTCGGTTTATAATTTATAACGGTTCTTTTCGGTTTGTTCCGGTTTTTATAAATTTAATTTAAAAAAAAATTAATCATTAACCATGTATATATTAATTTTAGAGAAAAATCTTTTTAGTTTATAATTTCTTATTTAATTTATCCATGATAATCTAATAGATATTTTTATTAAATTTAGGAAATATAAATTAGACAAATTAGTTTTTTTTATTTCATAAATAAATAAGATAAAAACAAACATGCGTAAATACAATAATCAATAAAATAATATGTATACTATACTATTTAGGTTTAAAAAGAGAATTCGAACGGATAACTAAAATATTTTATAATATTTCAGGATATAATTTAGTTCTCTGCGCAGAGAGTATAAACTTAAGGCTTTAAAATGCTCTTTCTACGGAGACCTGCGTAGCTGGAACTGCTAGCACAGTTATAGCTAACTTATAAAGTTCTGGCATACTATTCTTTACATTTTCCCAATAATTCAAAAGATTAGTATCTTTTTCTAATCTCTCTTTATTATCAAATGACCGAATTATATATTCTATTTCTATACATTTATTATAATTTTCGATGCCCTGAGAATTATTCTTATTAAGACTTTCATGCGACTTTAATAAATCTTCAAAATCATCATCTAAATTATCCTTCGAATACGAACACGTAGGCATAGTATTTAGAATTTCAATATTCTGATTATTTAGATTTTGTGTCAAGTTCCAATTTTTACACAATGTTTTCTGGCGATCTCTCTTTCTTCAAAAGTTAAAAATACATTATATCTAGGGTCGAGATAAATAGCAGAGCAAAAAACTACATTTTTATAATTTATTTCTCATGCTTTCATCGTAGAAACTAAAAGTCTGGCAAATGGAGTGTCTACTTTACTCGTTTGCATGAGACATTTGATCCACGCAGCATAAAAATCGCCCATTGTCAATTGTTCACTTTGTAAATATTTTGTCAAAACATAAGCTGGATATAAAGCTTTTAATATGTCACTAATTATTTCCCATTCATTCTCTGATAAACATTTTTGATCGCTTTGGAGCGATATTTCTTGGCAAAAGCTTTTTAACTCTAGTAATCTCTCCAACATTAAATAGATAGAGTTCCATCTTGTGCAACAATCTATTAGTGGTTTTTTCAAATTTAATTTTGAGAGAATAGCCATTGTTGTCTGATTTCTTATTTTTTTGCAGATGTTTCTTGCTTTATTTATAATGACAATTTCATTTGAATTTTTAATGCAATCATTAATTAAAAATATTTAATTTGATATATAATGTTGATAATATGGAAATATTTAATTTGAAAAGAAATCACCAATTTAAAAAATGCCCCCAAGGAAAATTAAAATTTTAAATTTAGGTTAATAATTTAAAATTAATTATTTTTAAAACCGTTTTGAACCGGTTTAAACCGGTTCAAAATATTTATAACGGTTCGGTTTGCTCTTTTAATATTTTCTTCATAATGGTTCGGTTAAGGTTACGGTTCAGAAAATCATAACGGTTCATTCCGGTTTTCCGGTTCGGTTCGGTTCGGTTCGAACCCCTGACCAATATAAACCAATATATAATTATATATTGGTATTGTTTTTACAACCAATACCAATACCAATTACCTAAATATATTGGCTTTGAAATATTGTTTAAATACAATTTTAACCAATACCAATACCAATATTAAAAATTTAAAATAGATAAATACATAAAATTATTTGGTTTTATCGTGGATAATTATAATGTGGATAATTATATCGTGGATAATTATATCGTGGATAATTATATCGTGGATAATTATATCGTGGATAATTATATCGTGGATAATTATATCGTGGATAATTATATCGTGGATAATTATATCGTGGATAATTATATCGTGGATAATTATATCGTGGATAATTATATCGTGGATAATTATATCGTGGATAATTATATCGTGGATAATTATATCGTGGTATTTTTTTTACTTTCATTCATAAACATATTACATCTGTTATTTATTCCAAATATTCCTGTGATATCAATATTGGTGTTATTTATAATTATAGTTTATTTTTATTATGGAAGTAAGTTTTCTATATGATATCTATCAATTTTATCTATTTATTCATTTAGGATATTATAATGAATGAAAACCAAATCGAGTTAATAAATAGATAATGATGTTGATACTAATAATAATATCGATAATGAACAAGAAGAATCAACGATATCTAATAAAAGACGAAATACAGCAAAAATCTGGGAATTTTATACTAGTTGTGATAACAAAAAAAAGGCTATTTGTAATAAATGTAAAAAAAAATTATCTATTCCCAATTTTGGAACCTCAGGATTATGGACACATCTTAAATCCATCCACCCAACTTTATATAAGAAATGTGAACAAATAAATAATGGCAGTAAAAAAATTAACACCATAAAATCATTTTTAATTAATAATGTAAATAATAAAGCTAATTTAAATAATTTAATTATGGACTTTTTTATTCAAAATAATTTAGCCTTTTCAATGGTTGAAAATGAGTCATTTAAAAATTTAATAAGCTTTTGCAACCCCTCATTAACATTAATTTCTAGAAAAACACTTAAAAAAGAAATTATGAAACATTATCATAGTTCTTTTATCAATTTAAAATCTGTACTTTCTAAAATTACTTCTAAATTTTCTTTAACAATGGACATTTGGTCCTCTCCAAATAAAATACCCTTTATGGGCATAACCATTCATTATATTGATACTGATTTTAAATTAATTAATAATTTATTAGATTTTATTCCTTTTTAAATCAGCACATAAAGCTATTAATATTTATAATATTTTTAATTGTGTATTAAAAGTAAAATTTGAAATTGATTTTTTTGTATTACATTAGATAATGCTAGTAATAATTTAGCATTTTTAAAAATTTTAAAACTAAAAGACAATTTTGATAATGTGTGCAAATATTTTTGCCATATTATCCATTTGTCTATCATGGCTGCATTGGAACCTCTAAATCCAACTTTAAAAAAAATAAGAAATTTTTAAAAAATTTTTAAACTTTCTATATCTAAATTTAATAAACTTGAAAAATATATCTTGAAAAAAATCCAAATTTAAAATTTCCTCACCCTATTTTGGATATACCAACACGTTGGAATTCAACGTACCAAATGCTCGAAAGGGCTATATTTCTCAAACCTTATCTCACAATATATACCAATCATTAACAAAATACTAATGAAGAATATTATATTAGTGCCTTAGCTTGGAATAATATTGAAATATACCGAGAATTTTTAGAACCATTTAATTTTGCTACAGAGAGGGCCTCATGTGCTAATACTCCATCAGTTTCAACAATCATTCCTTTATATTCCAGTATTTTTGAGCACGTTGAGAGTTATAATAATAATCCTAATGCTATTTTAAAGACAGCTTCATTAGCTGCCTTGACAAAACTTAATAAATACTATAATTTTAATAAACACCTATATATTATTTCAACAATGATTGACCCAAGGTTTAAACTATCAAGTCACTTATTAAAGCATAATAGTATAGAAACTCTTATTGGAATATAATATTTATAAAACAAATAATTACAATTCAGCTGAACCTACAAATGAAACACAAAATAACAAAAAATTATTTTTTTTTGACAAAATATATCAGGTTGAACCTAGTCACAACAATAATAACTTAGAAATAAGCAAATATGTGGATGAAGCCACAATTTGTAATGATACAAATCCATTAGACTGGTGGAAATTAAATAAAAATAGATATCCAATATTATCAAAAATTGCCAGAGATTATCTTGCAATTCCAGCTTCTTCATCTAGCTCTGAAAGGGCTTTTTCAGAAGGAAGGTATATTATAACAGATCAACGTTGTTCACTACATGAGCATACTATCCAAGCTTGCCTGTGCTTAAAAAGTTGGATGCGCATGAAGGATTCTTCTTAAATACATAAAATTTTTTCTTTATATTACAATCTTTTGCACTATATTTTATATAAATAGAAAATTATGTTACATTTTTAGTGTATTCATTTTGCTATATTCTTTGTGCTAAATAAAAAGTTTCAAAATATACGTTTATTATTTGATTGGTTTGTTGATTTCAAAAATATATTAGTTTAAAAAAAGAATTTGGACTTAGTAAAATTTTGGGAGTTGGTTCTTAGCCCTGTTTTTATGGTAATGCTTCATTTTTTTTTCCATGTTTATTTAAAACTATAAATTAAGAGTTTTATAATCACTATTTCTATTCTTTTAATTAGTAATTTGAATTTAAACCAATACCAATATAAACCAATATATACCAATATAAACCAATACCAATAGCAATACCAATACAAGAAATAGAAAATATTGTTTAAACCAATGCCAATATTTTAGACCCAATACCAATACAATATTTTGTTTATATTGGGTTTTTAATATTGGTTCCCAGCCCTACTCCTAGCTCCTAGTGATGAATTTCACGGCCGTAATGATCAATAACGTTTAACGCTATGCATCATCATTACTCAAATTTGTATTGCACATATATAATTTAAAATGAAGATAATCTAATGCAAGAGTTCCTTGACTTTAATATGAATGAAGAATTTTTTAGAAATTATTCTAAAGATCAAGACTTCATTGAATTGATTAACAAAATGAAAAATACTCAGGATAGTTATTCAACATCAGAAATAAATTTAAAAGACCTTCAAAAACAATGTAATTTTTGGTTACTTGGGCTTAAAAAATTTAATAGGATGGCACAAATAAAGTTTTTGGAGTTTTATTACTATAAATTTTATATTTTATTTAGATGTAAAAATATAAAGGATAAAACTTCTGATATTAAACAGAAAGTAGATGAAAAATATTTAGTTTTACAAAATTTACTATATCAAGTTAATTATTTGAAGCAAGAAGTAAAATTTAACTTATTTTTAATTCAATATGCTTTGAAGATTAAAAATTGTATTAATTGTCCCACATTATATGAGGACTTAGATATACTGCCATGGCAACAATTTTTTGAAATCATGCCTGAATATAAAGAAATAGGGGATAAAATTATCATAGGTTAATAAATAAATTGATTAAAATGTATTACGTTCAATTATAATAATTAGATGATGATAGCTCATGTGATAACTTGATTAAAGAAAATAATATTGATGTACAACATAAATTGGCCTTAGCACGATTAGATTGTGAGTTAGAAGAGAGAAAAGCGTTTTATTTAATGATATATACTATAATTTAATTATTATAAAGGTTGGCACAAAATATTGAAAAATTATTAGTAATAAAGCAAGATATACAAAATAATATTATGGAAAAATCTAAATTATTAGATTCTATATACCCTTCTTTGAAACAATCTCTAAAAGAAACACTATTAGTTCAAAAGTTGTTTGGGTTAGATTTTGAAAAAGTTGTTATAAAATTTAATAAAAACAATGTAATATAAGTTAGTAAGACCTGCTTAAAGATGAAAAATCATTAACAGGTTTTAATATAAATTATTGCCCTAAAGAGCAGGTCAGTGATTTGCCAATCCAGCTTGCATATTTTTTGTTTGAGATGTATTTTCTATATGGGTCATTCCACGTCAAATCGACCAAAAAAACGCGATTTTTGGATGACCATCTTTAAAATAAACCAAACTTGGCATGATAGTTATTTATTTTGTATATTTTTGTAAATTCTAAATTTTAGAGTGCTAGCTCTACCAAATCCAAAGATATACCCCTTCAAAGTAGAGAATTGCATAATGCGTGATTTCTTAAATCTTGTTTTTCTTAAAAAATACTTAAGATAAAATTACAAATAATATATCATTTTATAGCCCTTAAAATTTTACATTGGAAAATATTTAAAAAAAATTAAAAAATTTTAAGTGTTTTTGTATTTCCGGTAAAAATAAAAAATTAACATTCCTGGGAAGGGATATTTTTTTGGTGTTGATACTCTCTAAAAATGTTTATTACCTTTATATTAAACTATTTTTGTTTTTATAATTTTATTAAAATTTTTATTATTTTTATAAATAAAAAAGGATAATATAGATGGCGTTATATATAATTTTAATAATAATATATTTAATTTAATAAAAATATGTTTTATATCGGTATTAAAATAAAAAAAAATCGATTAAATATAACCAGTATGATGTCTTGAGGCAATAAATAAGGAAGCGGCTCATACGGATATGGTTATTAGGACGCTATATTTTAAAATAAACATATAAAATTTCATATACAAACAATTATAAAATAAAATACCTCTTTTTTAATCTTATCCCATTTTGCACATATTAATAGAATTTCCTGAAGCGATAATTTATAGGTACGTCCTGTCACTGTTATAGAATCTACTATCGTTATTATTTGATTCATGGGCAACCATATCTTTTCCTCAATTGTGGGATAAAAGAGGATGGTGTTGGTCCATGGGGATGTAAAAAGGAAATATATATCTCCTCAGTATTTTCATTCTTTTTCAGTACTGTGGCCAACCACCAAAAATCGTCATAAACACATGTTACGAATCCTTTAATATCAGCAAAACACAAATTATTGGCAAAAGACAAATCGGCATTTGAGATATTATTAATTTGAAAGTCCTTTGCATATGAATATATTTTTGATTTAAGTTTACTTAACCTCAAAAGAAAAACAGCATGTATTTGCCGAGTTCCTGGAATGGGACGAGCTAAATTGAATCTTTCTCGTAGCTTAATCTCTTCTAAATTGTATTGTTCGTTGGTTATATACGTAAAATTTACTGATGGCATATTTTGTTTTGCAAACTGATTTAAATCAACTGGTGTTAAAATGTGTCCAGAACTGGTGGGCTGAAGGCTTGAACGTGCTGCTAATCTTTTTAATGTTTCGCCAAGGCCTTCACATGGACCTTTTCCATGAGATGTAGCTAAAAAATGCCATTCAGCTGCTACACCAAAATCTGATTCATTATAACACAGATTTATGAAATTTTTTCTGTTTTTATATTGAGCAGCCGATCCGTCAGAGCAGTAATAGATTTTACATGGCTTTTTGTTAAAATGATTGGTCAAAAATTTTATCATTTCAGTCTGGTATAAATGTACTGCAATAACATCATGTTGAAGTGACTCTGATATTACCACATAATTAAGGTTTTCTATATTGTTATTATTATTATAATATGCTATCATAGGATGGATAGTGACCTGATTATTATTCCAGTGAAATCCTTGAACAGCGTCTTGGATTACAAAGGCATAATTTTCAGAGAAATCACAAATTATCATAAATTCATTTTGTTGTAAAAAATGTTTAAGTTTTGAAATATATGATGACTGATTGGTAGCGATAAAGGAATGACGTAAGGTGGAATTTTTTCTAAAAAAAAAATTAAAAATTCTTGAGAAGATTTTGTTATTGTTTCCAGATTACTTCTATCAACAGACACCCACTGTTTAAAGGATATATGATCTATGTCATTTTAGGCAAATACAACATCTAATTGTTTTTTAATTGAGAATGTGCCTGGACAATAGTTACAATCTCCTAAATAACAAATAGGGAGTGCTGGATTGCATATTGTTTGAGCTAAAATATTTTTATAGTTATGTAATGGATATTCTGGCATAGCTAATAGTTTTGCCAAATTAGCATCTACAAATATAAGCTTAAAATTTTGATGAATTACACAAACACACACACTGTGTGTTCCACTGGCTCCAGCCAGAATACAATTTTTTGGCAGTAAATCTGCAAATTTAGAAAATCCAACTTTAATTATCGGGTACCTCTCTTTAAATCGTTCATATAATTCTTTTAAATTGTTTAAAATTAATCTTTTTTGAGACTGCTCTCTTTTCCCCTTGATCATTATGGATTTATAGTCTTTTTTCCCGGGCATCGCACGACTGACTTCATCAGAAGAGTAAAATTTTTCTATAAAATTCACGATTTCCTGAACAATTGTTCGCCCAGGTTTTATAATGGGAGATGACATAAATCCTTTTAATTCTATTAGTTTTTTTGATTTTCTTACCAAGTAATTCGTGGCTTTGAACTCCATCTCAATTTTTTTAGAGGTCCAAGAAGGGGGCAATATATATAGTAAGAAGTTGATATTTTTTTTCCTTAGAAATAATTGGATAATGATGTTTTATTTTGAAGAAGTTCGTCATTTTTATTATTTTGTATATCAAACTCAGGAAGGCTGCTTCTTAATATGTTTTGACTTAATGCTTTTGTTATTTTTTTAAGTTTTTCTTGCGAATATTTCTTTTCCCCTATTCTTTTCGTTTTTATTGGGGATTGGCCTATTTCTTCTAGCGATACATTTATTATATCCAAAGTTGAACTGGATGGGGCTAGTTCGGGCTCTTCATTTTCAGATATATCCTCAATGGATTCCATATTTTTCAAATTTAAGCGACATGAGTGACATAATGATCGGCCTATTGTTAATAAACCTTTGGATTTTTTAATCTTTGGTGTAACCTAATTTTATATATAATAAAAATAATCACGATATCCAATAATAAAAAAGATATTATATTGGTAAAAATCCAGAATCTAAAATTAAAAAGGTTTTAATCCATAATATAAATAAACTTACCTTTTGTAGATTTTTTGAAATAGACTTATGGCCTTCTCTAATGAATGGATTACTACAAAGTGATTTCATTATTACAATTTTTTAAATTTAAAAAAAAAATTTAAGTAAAAAAAGAAATATTTTTTTAATCCTTATGTTCTTTTCAATCATGATTGATAATTAAATTTTTTATTTATCGATATAAAAATTTAATAGAAAGAAAGGAATAAAAAATAAAATAAGATGATAAAATCTTTAATTTCAAATAATAACGATAGTAGATACAGAAGTGTGAAATATATACAAATTACCGCCTCAAGAATTTCTATTTAAGCGCAAAATGGATTGCGATAAATAGATATATTTTTATAATAGCTTGAATATAATTTTAAAGTATCTTTATATGGGCCGCTTACTCATTTATTGCCCCAGGACATCATACTGGTTATACTTAGATTTATTTTGATTTAATACCGATATAAAATATATTAAATATAATATATTATTAATAAATTTAGTATAACGCCATCTATATTATATTTCTTTATTTACAAAAATAATAAAAATTTTAATAAAATTGAAAAAACAAAAATGGCTATCGAGATTTTTCATTAAATAGTTTAATATAAAGGTAATAAACATTTTATGAGAGTATCAACACCAAAAAAAAATCCCTTCCCAGGAATGTTAATTTTTTATTTTTACCGGAAATACAAAAACACTTCATTTTTTAAATTTTTTTCAATATTTTCCAGTGTAAAATTTTAAGGGCTATAAAGTGATATATTATTTGTAATTCTATCTTAAGTATTTTTTAAGAAAAACAAGATATAAGAAATCACGCATTACGCGATTCTCTACTTTGAAGGCGTATATCTTTGGATCTGGTTGAGCTGGGGCTCTAAAATTTGGATTTTATTAACATTTACAACATAAATAACTAACACGCCAAGTTTCATTCATCTTTGAGATGGTCGGCCGAATCACTGGTCGATTTGTCATGGAATCGAATTACCCATATATTTCTTATTGGGATATAGAATTCATGGGGATTTGAAATTTCAATTTTAAATCATTTACTGAGGGCAATTTAAATTTAAATAATTGGAAATGTATTTCAACATCTGGAGAATACCCATACTATGGATTTAGATAATTTTGCTGTGAACATTAAAACTACTCTTATTTTATATTAATTTTCTATAGATTTTTCATACTAATACTTAGTATAGAACATAATTGTCTGGTCCACAAGTGGCTAATATGCACATGTTAACAGATTTTTTAATTCAAATTTAAAAATTGCCCCCATTCGATGATTTAAAATAGAGAGAATCTGAATCCCTGTGAATTCCATATTCCAATATCCATATTCATTATTAATAGAAGAGACCTGTGTCTCAAGCCCAAAATTTTTGCTGAAATAGAATTGTCTTTGCAGAACTTTAATATAAAATAAATATTATCATCCTCACTGCAAGACCTCATAAATCTCCTTTTTTTTAAATGCTCAGGAGAGACACAAAAATATTTTTAATAATTATAGAAAAATTTGATTATAATGATAATTTTTCAACTAATCATAAGATGTTATATAATTGTATGAGTATGCCTCTTAATATTTTTTGGGCTTGGGCCTAATTTTATTAGAATAATTGGATTTGGGCCGGGCTGGGCCTAATATTAAAAAAAAATTGGGCCGGGTCAGGTCGGACCTTGGAAATTTTTTTAAATATATCTAAATTTATCAATTTTATATTGAATTTTTTATGTAAAATAAAAATATTTGATTTTATTTATTGAAATTAAACGTATAACATGTCTTTTATTTTGAGTAATTATAAAAATTAATTTCTATATTTAAATAAATTCGGGCCGGGTTGGGTTGGTAAATTTTTTAAATAAAATTTCGGGTTCGGGCTGGGCCGGCAAAATTTTTTAAAAAAATTTCCGATTAAGGCCGGGCCGGCAAAATCTTTTTAAAAAAAATTTCGGGCCAGACTTTAAAAATTAGGCCCGATGCAGATCACTAATTAAAATATCCACATTTCAAGTTCTTGAATAATTCTTTGTTTGAGATATTACTAATTTTTCTTATTATTTATTAGGATTATTTAGTTTCCAATATGGTTAGAGCATTACCTACACCTTTGTATTCAATTTATGCCAAATATCTTTCTTACAAAAAATTATACAATGATAAAGAAATTCACTTTGATATATACGAAGGTAATTATTATGGTATTTAATCTTTCATAATAACTAGACCTACATGTTACTGGCTCATGTTGCTGCACATTTGTGTGGCACATAGAAAATTAAAATATATAAAGTAGAGACCTTCATGGGCCTTAATTTTTTGACCAAGTCCAGCCCAGGCCCACAGTAGAAAAAAATTTTTAAGCCCAGATATTTAAAAAATTTTCAAGCCCATATAAGTTTCACAAAAAATTTCCAAACTCTGCCCATATCCATATAAATTTTTTTTAATAAAAATAAGCAATATTTAAGTATATTTATATTTTGTTTGCAATACTGAAATTTTTATTAAAAAAAATGACAATATTTCTTTAAGTTAGCAACTGTTTTAAATAAGCTAAATTTAAATTTAATAATCTTAGGCCCCAAGTCCATTTAAAAAATATTTCAAAAACTCAGGCCAAGCCTAGGCCTGCTTGAAAATATAATATGAGGCCTGTGAACCAACCTGGCCCATGAAGGTCTCTAATATAGAGATACAAAATTATAAATTGCTTTACATATTATTCTTTGAATTTTAATATTGAAATTGCAGAGATGCTACCCTATTTTTGCTTCAATATTTTTATATTGTTGGGTAGGCTCATTCAAAAACAAATATGAATCAAATAGGAATGTATCGATTTTTTATCGGATCGGGCCGATATTTCATCCATTTTAAAATATCGGTTTTCAGCCAATCTTATAAAATTTTCCTATCCGATAAAAAATGACGTTTTTAACAAAAATAAAATGTTGTAAAATTTAAAAAAAAGTGATATATAAAAAACCATTTATTTTTATAAACAAAATCGAAATCCATTTTTTGTTTATTTTTTAAATAATAATAATGAATTAATAAACATTCTGCCATATTGTTATTTTTTTGCGCATCATGTTTATAAAAATATGCGTTAATCTATTCAGAATCTGTTTTTAGTGAAGCTGGTGATATTGGCAGTCCCCATGACCGCAGGCTGACCTCTGATAAATTGGAAATTTTGTTATTTCTAAAAAGAAATCTTCGATATATTAATTTAAATATTTATTTCAAATTTCAAAATATATTTTTATTACTTATTAACTTTAAATGATTTATAAATATTTTATATACTTTTAGAATTGCGATTGAATTGAATATAAACTATAACTGATCCTTATAATATATTTAAATGACATATATTATTGTATAGCTAAATTATAGATGTTATACTAATATAAAGTAAATTAAAAAATAACCATAGATGTGATATTGGATCGGTAATCGGCCGATATCAATTTAACATCCGAAATATTGGCCTGGATCAGCCTCCAAAAAATAGTATCGGTGCACTCAAATAATGAATTCATATTTTTTTAGAATAATTTATTATTTGTTTATTTGTATTATCATAGGTCTATAGGTGGGTATTGGGCTAATACAACCTATACACCTGGTATAAATAAAGAAATATATGAAAAAACATAATTTAACGATATATTATATTTGAATTAATAACATATAAAACTAAAATTTGAGATTTTTTCTTTTCTTTTTACATTTACATTGTGATTTTTTAGAAAAATGCTAGCCAGATGGAAGATTTAACTTTCCCAGAAAACAACGTAAAAAAAGATATTTAGAAAAAATTAAATATTTGTCTGAAAAAAAGAAATGAGGAGCAATTTTTTAAATTTTATTATATAAAAAATAAAAATGGAAGTTTTTATCTAAAAAAATTTGTTTGAATTTTAATTTTGAAGTTCAACTTAGTATTTTAAATTCATTTTAAGATAAAGGTTTGGCTAAACCTTATTGGAGTGGGCCAAAGTTAGATGATACAGCAATACATGATGCAATAAAATCACTGAGGATTGAATTGCATTATAAACATGCTTGAGGTGAGATTTTCTTGTTTTATTAATGTTAATGATTATCTTCAATACATAACAACCATGTTGATAGTTTGAAACCTGATTAATACCAATAAAGTAAAATTGTTCTCATTAAAACATTTTATAAATTGGATCAGCTGTTAAATTGTTGACAATTATGCTGCATAACGCAATCAATATAGAGGCTAAATTATATATATTGATGATTCTCATCCTCCAGATAAACACTTTGATATTGCTGATATATGAAGACAATCCTACAGATCATTACTATATAAAATCCTTAAAAATGAATTGACCTGCATGCACGATATATTTATTGTTCTAAAAAGTATTAGATAGAAAAACATAAACCCAAATAAAATATAAGAATATTATGATGATTTTTAAATCATTAAACCATATTTAAGATTCAGTAAAATTTATTTCCAAAAGAAATGTAAAATACAGACCTATTTCTCAAAGTGAAGTAGACAATAATTTGTAAAAGAAAGAACATGATATTTTAAATATTGGTTATCCCAATGATAATATCAGGTAATGTAGTAATGTATATATTTAATTTATCACATTACTCTTTACTCAACATTAAAAGCTAACAGTCATTTTGGATATAGGCTAAAAATCGGCGAATTTGTCTCAATCTAGGTGTGTGCCAAGAAAAATTCGCTAAACCTGCAAGTTAATTTATGCTTTCTTCATAGATGATAGAAAATTTCCATGAGCAAGTTTGGAACAAGTCATGTCGACCTCTACTAACGAAAATATAAATTATTTAGAATTATTAATTCCATTCCTATGAATTTTATACCAATATTATTCCTTTATTTGAAAACTTCCTGAACACGAGGTGGATACTTATAGAAGCAAACAAAACACAATTAGCAATGACAATAAGCCCTTTGAGTAATCAGCTAACCTCGAAATATTATTTAAAGATTATGAATTCAAAAAAAGGAATGGTATTTGTTATTGGCCGCAAGAAGATGTTGCTATAAATATTTTGGAAAAGGGGGTTTAAATGTTCTCTAAAATGCTGAATTTATCAAAAAATATTATTATTTTTATACCAGCAATGATCAAAGAATTATCTTTTAACTATGACAGTTACAATATACAAGATACAATATTTTGTTAATTTTAGCATTCTGTATTTTAATTTGGTTTATTTATTGGAGATCGGCGAATATTGACCCGAAACCCAGCTTGGGATAAAAGATTTTGGGTTGGACTGGACAAATTGTTCAAAAATTTTTTACGGGCTGTCCAGACTCATTAGACAAAGTTTATTTTGCTGGATAGAATATTTACGAGATGAGCTGGACTGAAAACCCGGATATTTAACGGGCTGATATTATATATAACAAAATGTCTTACACCACCATCGATTTTTATAGGCAGTGGCGAATTCATTGAGCTGACTAACGACAAATATATTTTTAAAGCTTTGGTCAATTGACGCACAGGGCATGTAAATTAAATTAACAATCAAAATGATGAATGTTAATTTAATTTACATGCTTAATTATATTATAGTTAACACATGATTAGAACAATTGTAAATTTATTTAATAATTTCTCAATACACAATTTAAATTTACTATTATATTTATTTATCATTTATTAGAAGATTTAGTAAACGAGAATTCTGTCAAAGATTTTCTTGTTGCCTTATCTTGTATAAACGTAGAGAAAAGTAATTCTGATTTAATAAATACTGCCTCCAATCTTCCTAACAATATTGAAGAAACAATGGATGAGAGTGATTCTAAAACTCATTATCTTAATCAAGTATATATATATTTATATATATATATAAGTAACCAATTTAGATTGCTCCACAAACCAATTTTTTTTAAAAAAAGGTAGTCTATACATTTAGATCGAGTTTAGAACAATGGAATCTAATTATTTTGTCAGCTAAATCGGTTCGGTTTTTTTGAACTTTTTTCTTCGTGAGATGCTATAAACCTGGACAATTGACTTTCACTATATTAATATTTTGTTTGAAACATCTATATTTTTTTTAAATGATAAAGATTAGCAAATAACATTTCTCAAGCGTCCTAGCTACCTTATTATTAAATATTTATTTCAGAAAATTCCTGATTATTTCGTTCACTAAAAAAAATTTTTTTTTAGCATCAATTAATTAATTTATTTAAATTAATAAAGATTACGGTTGACGAAAGAAATCTAGCTGATGTTAAAAAAATTGTCTTACACACTCTAAATACAATTAGTGAAAACGATGATTTCACTATCCCTCAACCCATTAAAGTTAAAAGTGTTGGAAAAGACAAATATGGGAGACATGAAAAGAATGAAGAAGATAATAGGCATGCTGAAATAACTCCCAAACCACATGATTATAATCCCCATGCCGATTTAAAGTTATTTTTATGAACCTATCCATAATTTATTAATTTTACTAAGGATGCACAGGATCCAAATTTTTCTGATACTAAATCGGATTATAATTTTGATACCGAATATCGCATCAAAACTCTATTAACTATATTTAAAAGCTAAAATAACTCCTAAAGCACTTTATAATTCCCATGTCAATTAAAGTTATTTTATGAATCCTTAATTTATTAATTTGTAAAATCACACATTGTACGGGTTATATTGGATTCAAGATTTCCTGTGGTACCCTGATTCAAATTTTGGTGTCAGATATTGCATCAAAATTTTATTAATTAAATCTTTTAATAAATTGTTAGAATTCTATTTTTTTTTAGTGCCAAATTCAAAAATAAATGATTATTTTTTTTACTACAATTAGTGCTGTTAAAAAGCTCTATTTTTAAAAACGGATAACCTAATATCTTAGCCCAATAAATATTACACAGAGATTTTGCTCATAGTTAGCAGAAAGGTTTGAACATCTATAAATGAAATCTCGAGGCTTGCGTATTATTATTTTAGCTAAAATCTTAATTTAAAATCGGTTAAATCGAGCCGTTTAACACTAACTACAATATTAAAATTAAAAAAATAATTATTCAAGATTCATTTTGAGCAAATCCAATCTCACTCTCAAAATTACTGTGGCATGTGAAGATAATTTAGACAATGATAAAAAGCAGATTCATATGATAGAGTTAATTTTTAGACATTATCCTAATCTGAATATAGTGACAGCCTCATTTAATGTGAAGGGTGAAAAACCGAAATTAAGTAAATCAGTAAACGAAAGGATATCGGTTAAGGATGATGACATATGGAGTATCATGAAGCAAAATTTATTAACAGGTTATCAATTTTTTAAAAAAAATTCCTTTTACTCATATGCCCTTATTAAAACCGTATAAAGCACAATGTAGATTAGAATTTAACTATTTAAGCTATAAATTTGTTGATAAAATATTAACGTAATATTTCAAAGTGGGTATTACAGTATAGATACGCCCACTTATATATTAATATAATTATGCAATTGTCTCTGATTAACGTTTATCTATGCACGTTTCTAAAATCAAATAGGCAAATTAAAAAGTTTATAATAAATTCTATATATTTCTAAAATAAATCATTATTTATTACTAACAAATAATGGTAGGTATAGAATTTATGGTTTAATAATAAAGATCGTGATATTTTTTACCATTTGCATAGAAAAATTCAGGGTTGGCAGGTCGGTCAATTGACAGAAGGAGTATTTGACCTGGTCAAATACTCTAAAATTGGTGAATAACTATATTTATTTAATGAACTAATATGTATTTAAAGCATATTTATCAATCTAATTTGTTTACAAATTATTTTAAAATATATTTGTATCTTCAAGGCATCGATTTAATTATAATTTTTTATAAAAATATAAAATTTTCTTATTAAAATATTAGAATTTCAATTTGAAATATAAAAAAAGCTCATTATTAATTTGATTGGATCTAAATATATAAATAAATATAAAAAATTTACTTAAGCATGGTTTGAGAAAATTACTAATTGCCAATTTATATTACATTATGTACAATTATATAAACAGGATAGGTATCATAAATAAAGTGTAATGAGCAAATATAAATATGCAAGAAAGCACTGAAAGTAGCTATTGAAGAAGTTGGATATTTGTCCGTTAGAAATTATCAATAATATATTAAATGATATTTTGGACAAAAAATTTAAAATTTTAAACTATTCATAAACATTTAGCTATCTAATTGACCTTGGCTTACGTAAAAAACGAGATGTTTAATTTAGAAAACACATAATACAATCATGTCCATGATTTTGTAATTTACCAACCTAAAGAAAAAATATTAAAGATTAGTTTGAAAAAGAAAACAATCCAAATACATGTGCCCTCACTGCACTGCTGATTATTTATTGGATTCCCAATATAAGGGGAGTATCTTACTTTAGTTTGATGAAGCATATGACATAAATAGTCGTTTCATAAAGAGATGATAATCAAAATATTTTAAGTGAAATCATAAATTGCAGAAATAAAAGCGGAGTATTTAATAACCAAATTATGTGGAAACCAGTAACCTACATAAAAAACAATCAGATTTCGGGCTCAAGTTGTTGGAATGGGCTTTGTTCACATTGAATTTAAAAGAAGTGTTTAAGAAATTCGATTGAAGATCTCGACAACCAGAAAATTGGTAGGAGTATATCATAACATAAGATTGATTAAAAAATGTTAAAAAAAGATGAATATAAATTAGAATAAGGCTCTGCCATAAAGGGTAAAACATTCATTATAGAATTTAGGAAATAATTTAATATACATACATTTTTTTACTATTATATATAAAATAGAATTAATATTGACTTAAAAAACATTTATTAGAATTTGACTATACTTGACCGGTCAAATATCGGTCAATTGACCTAATCTTATTTGACCGGTCAAATGCACAACCCTGGAAAAATTAGTAGTTAAGTATAACCATGATACAGATTAGGGAAATATATTGTTTGATCACCTTACTATAATTTTCAAAAAACGATTTATAAAGTTATTTCCTAATTTAATTTAAAAAAAAACTTCTTTGATATTGCGTGGAGTGTGATTAAATAAAAATATATTAAAATTTATAAAATGAGGGATGAATTAAAGAGTTCAATAATATAATTAAAACCCGTTCACCTTTTAGAATTCATTATCTTATCAATGGAAAATCCGGGAATTTTAGGATTATTTTTGAGAACGAAATTTGAAAATCCTGGGATATTTAAATATTTGTATCAAAAATTTCAAAATGCATGGAAAATTATCTATACCACAATATATTGATTTTCCTCAGGATGGATTTACCTCCTTAAAGGAATATTACTTAAATTTTAACTATATATTTTTGAAAAATTACATATATTAAGTTTGGTAAAATTCATATATTTGTTTAAATGCATCAAAAATTAATATTTATTATAATATCTATCGTGAATTCTCTCATTTTATGGTAAATCTAAATATATATTTTTTTGTTTTTACAAAGTGTATGTGAAAATAATATACTATAAAATAACTACCAGTACAACGCTATTTAATAACACACCATTTACCAACACAACTCTAAAAGTAATAAATTTTCAACTTCAAATTTTACTTGCCAACTAAATATATAATTATAAAAAAAGTCATTATAAGTATAAAGTCTCGTCCCTTTTATAATTTTTTGGGTTAAAGAAATCGAGTTCTACACGTGATATATAAAATCAGGCTACTATTTATTAATATGATAAATATTAAACAAAATAATTAAAAAAAAATAAATAATTTTAAATAATAATATGAGTGTAACTCCTTCATAATATTTCCAGTTTTCATGTTTTCCCACATTTACCTTATTTTCTTGAAAAAAGGTTAAATCGTTGTTTTACTTTATTTATGTTAATTTTTTTTTCCAAGATAGTAGCTTAACCGACTTATACTTATTAATTATAGATATTTTAGATGATTCTTCATCAAGCATCTCCTTGTCACCTATTGATTATATGAAAACAAATTTCTACATACCCAAATTGGTAAAAGTTATATTTAAAAACAAGTCACTCGATTGGAATGACAAAGGTATAGAGGAAGTCAAGGGTAAGCTAGAAGATCTTATTACAACACTCAATTTATCGCTCGAAGTTGTATATGATAAAGTAATTCCATCCGATTTTTAAATATATTTTCTCTAGCCTTAATCTATTTTTGAAGCCACTGTCCAAAGCTATTTACTGTACAGTTCCATTAAAAAAATATATTAGGACTAACTAAAAGTTGGAGCACCACAAGCAATAACTTTTTTTTATGGTGGAGTATTTTCTTGCATAAATTATTTAAAAAAAAAATTATATTAATAAGCTGAGCTGAGTTTTTGATTTACAATTTTTTCTCCCAGTAATGTCACTTGGGGGAGGCGCACAGGAATTCGAGCCCCCAGAAGACACCCCCTCCCCCAAGACTGTAAAGGCTAGAGACTTTCATCAATTACTTATATATATCCCATTTTTTAGTTCAATAAATGTTATCAGATTACTCTTAAAAATCAGAATTATAAAAATAATATTTTTTTAAAAAATCACAGAATTCGGGTTTTTTTTTAAAATCAAACGTATTTTTTATAAAAATAGGAGACAGGACACAAAAAACTGATTTTTCGGGCGGGCCAGATAAATTAAAAAAAATTTTGATTATGGAATTTTTTTCTAAAACCCTTAAAATACTTAGCAAGATATAAATCTATTAATTTTGAAAAGTAATCTAAAAATCCATCCAAAATTTAGATTTATCAAATTCTTGCTCAGGAAGATAATTTACTGGACAAATATTTTTCTACAAACAATATACCTTATATATTTAATATAAAAAATATTTTTATTTAATAATTGTAAAAAATACATTTTGCTCCCTTTAAAATTAGTTAATTAAAATCAAATGAGTTTTAAGAAAGATTAATGCAGAATATGACATTCAGCTAATAAGCACTCATTCATAACTAAGCTAATTCTATTTTAGTAGAAGAATATAAGTTTTATATTTTTTCTTCAATTAATATATTAACTAGATAGGGTATCCTTATCAATGGCTTCAATATGTAAATGAAGGGTCTATTGGTGATGTGACTAGCCACGACGATGATGATAAATTGATGAATATATTTGCTGTTGTTAAATCAAGATTTCAGTCAAGGATACATCTCTATAAATTAGTAAATTATTAAATATACTTTTTTAATTAATTTTTAACAATAGTGTAAAAACTTACTATAATTTTTTACGATTAAATCATTTATATAGTCCATATTTTTAATTTTTAAAGACTCGATTTGGGTGAAATTATGTTCAAGCACGTGTATAATAAGCACTAAAAGTCGACCTGAACTGACTCAGTCTTGAAAAGGGTTTTTTCTTCCCAGCTCGTAATAATATTTTATGGAAAAAAACATAAATTTGCTAATTTTTAGCTTTAAAAAATTTGAGAAATTTTAGCACACGAGAGCTGCCCCAACCCCTAACATGTCCAAGGTTTTTAAAAAAAATTGGCGAAAAAATATGCATAACTTATTTTAACCATAAACTTATATAAATTAACTTGCTGAAGATTATTTCCGGATATTTTGATTAAAATTTTCCTATATCATTTTAATTAAGTTTCTGAAACTTATTGGCAATGATTGAAATGCAAAAAAGAAAATCCAAATTGTGGTTAATACTCAAACATCAAGCTCATATATCGCAAAAGCATTCATAGATAAATTGAATGGCACTAACAATCTAGAGCAGGAATGTTACATAACTTGTTTAACCTACTGTATAAAATTTCTGCTCACTTAAAAATGATGTAAAATTTCCTGCAGAACAAGATACACTTTTATTTCGGGGAAAAGCCACTGGAACTCATGAAACTAGTTACTTGTATATCTGCAACAAATATACCTACTGAAAGAATCATTCCTATCTTTGGATTGACACTGCCAAAGAACATTCCAAAAATCTTATTATTCACAATTATCATTTAGCGGAATATGATTTTTAATTATTTTTATTACCTAAATATTTTGTTTGCATCGAGATTTATGATATAGTTTTTTTATATAAATGTTTTAATATTGCACTATCGATAAAATATTATTTATGTAATTGTAAAATTTATATAGGATTTGACACCGAAAAGATTTTATTTAGGGGAAATGTGCCATGAATTGCCATGTTTTTGCTTTTTTGAAAAAAGGTATTAAAATTTATGTTTAACCAAACAAATTTTATATCAATGTGTAGCCTAAATATTAATCCTTAAAATAAAATTCGAATCAAAGCTCTATGTATAATACTTTATGAGCTAAATGAGATTATGTGAAAGTTGTTTTTCGGCCAGTCAATACATACTATGCATAGTAGAGATCTGCAAAGTTAGGCCCTGCATTCGGGCTGGGCCTAATATTTTTAGTAGTTTTAAATTTCAAAAATATATATCTATTACTCAAAATGTTATTTTTTATGGAATTTTTTTGGGAACGAGTAAACCCAACTCGGGGACCAGTGGCCCCTACAACGGTGAGGGTCCGAAGCAACTGCTTCTAAAAATTTGAATGGGGGTACTTAAAAAAAATTATTTAATTCTTTTATTGTTTTCTTCCATAACCAAGTGATTTCTGGTTTATGATATAGGACTCGACCTCGTGATTCCGTATACATATTAAATTTAATAATAAATGGGGGGGGGGGGGTCTTATTACATTTTAATAAATTTTGGTCGATGTTTAGCAAATTAGATTGATTTCTTGTCATAAAATTATTTTACCAATTTCGAAATATGCCTAAAAATATTAACCAAAATAATACAAATGCTTATTTAATAATTGCACATGGCATAATATAAGAGATGATAAATTCTTACTACCTCATATACTGCCAAGACTTCTTAATACCATGAAAGATCCATTTCTTAATAATTTAACCATTTTATCAATGAAATTTTTTTTTTATCTAAACAATTAAATAATTATGATTAGAGGTCAGCGGGCCGTGAAATTACACTTGACTAATCGTGTAAACGGTGGTCACGGTGTGAGTGTGAATAAATTTTAAATAAGAACCGTAAGCAAAATGTAACCATTATAAGTTTTTACATACTGAACCGTAACCGTCCCTGCTTAAATGTTCAACGAAAATTGTTGCAATAATTCGGTATTTTTATAAATATATTTATTAAAACAAAAAAGTCTTAACCTCATTCCTTTTTATTCATTATATGCCTTAATTTTATACTATTTACTTTTTTTTAAATTCTCTTTTTAAATCCCTTATTTTGGCCTTTTAATTATATGGTGCCGATTCCATATCTCAATACGACATATATATATATTGCAAGTTAAAATTTTAGAATTTGTTAACTTTTCCTATACTTCATTTAATGGTTTGTTACTTTAGAAAAATATAGTATATTTGCTTGGATGATGCTTAAAGCCTTTTACAATGAAATGTGATCGAAAATACGTGTTAAATGAACTACTTTACAAAAATAAAAATTGGATATAAAAAAATGTTATTTCTAAAATTATCAAATTTTTATTATAATTTGGTCTATCCAATAAAATTACACCCATATGTAGTAAAATATTATATAGGTATTATTAATTGGAGGGCAGGATGAACTGCATGCAAATTTAATGAAGAATTTATATAAAATAGTTTTTTTTAAAAATCAGACCTGCAGAAGTCGAAATCTGAGGCCTACCAAATTTAATTATTTTGATTTTCAAGCCTGGCCAAGGATTTTTTTAAAAATACGGTCTTTTATGTTTGATCATTTCTTAATATAGCTCAAAATTTTAAAATTCTTTCAACGGAAGATTGAAAATATGAGCAGCTTGATTAAACTTTCCAACTGACATAATTTATTTTTCCTGCAATTTTTAAATTCCATTCGGGTTCCTAGCCTCTGATAAAAATATATAATTTAAAAGCTCTTATTCATATCAATTAGGCCATTCATTTTTTTATAATTTAAGTAAAATATTTCCATAATTGCACTTAAGCATATAAACAATAAATCTAAATAATGGTAAATTAAAATATGATTAATAAAAAAAATTGAAAATTATATCCCTATTTGACAGTATATCCTATAGTTAACCCAAGATTTGATGACAAACTTGCCTGAAACTTAGAGGATAAGTTCTGCACACATTGGAATGATCACCAAATCAAATCTTTAAAATTAAAACGGTGTACTAGAAATGAATTAATTTTAAAATATACCAGTCATATAATAGCATAATTAATTTAAACTGCTATTTAATGTAAATCAAAAGTTTATTTGAAATACTAATAGTTACTAAATTATAATATTCTTTCGGTTTGGGCTTAAATTTTTTATATCATTACTTTTGTTAAATAAATTAATATATTTTCTTACAATCAAAAAAATATTAAACTTTTCTACATTTAAATAAATTCGAGCTGAGCTAACAAATAAATTTTATTGGATCGGGCTTTTACAAATGGAATAATTCGTTCGGAATTGGTCGGACAAATTTTTTTAAAAAAATTCTTGGAACATAATTTTAAAATTTCAAAATTGAGAATTTATTGCTTATCATGTATTGGTTACTTTGAAACGTAGATAGCGGAATTCAAATCATTATCATCAACCAACCAGGACTCGAACAATTTTGGACCCTTAAAAAAATTCGATATAAATTTGTTGTCTTCAATTCAAAATTTTTCTTTCTATCTTTGTCATATCGAATTGGTGTTACAATGTAAAAGCCGTAAAAGTTTAAATGTTTCGATAACCTTACCCAATACAACCGAATACTACTGTTCTCATATTCAACAAAATAAGGTGAATTATTATTTTTATGCTTGCACAATTTTTTTTAAAGTATAATATTAATAAGTGGAAATAAAAAAAGTATTTAGGCGTCTTAAGAACGATTTGTTTCATTATCAATCTAATTATATTTATTATCTCATTGATATTGTGCTAGGTCAACCTCAATTTATTTGTTCCTTATTCATAAAACTTAACTTCCTTTTTCTAATCACCTTATTCCTAAATTTTAAATGTAAAATATATTTTGTACAATTGCCGGCCTGGCTCGTAAAAATATTTTAAACAATATCCAGTTCCATCCAAGAACCTTTTCCCTGGTCTGGGGGCTGTACCACATTCTAATTGAATGATAGCTATATTTACATATCTTATTATAGATCAAGACGATGTTGCCTAACTTAATCGAATATGATATTACCGAATTAAACTCCCATAGCATGCAATACAACTTAACATTTAATTTTAACCACCAGCATTTGCTTCAGGATATATGCGACAGTGATAATGAAAATTCTTTATTAAATACCAATTTTACAGATTCAACATTAAATAATAAATTCAAGATATTAGAAAATAAAATGAATAACTTATGCCCAAGATCAATTTCACATGGCGAGGAAAAGCCCAGTGATGCCTGTATATTAGCTATAAAAATGGCAGAACTAATAAAAGGATTTAATCACATTGTTAATGCAGAATCAAACGTTGACAAATTTCTATATCCAAATAAAAAATATATAAATGAAATTAATGATCCTTATATAAAATTGGATATAATGGATCTATTTATATGTAATGCTAAGTGACTCTAACGACTTTGAAATTCGAAAAGAAAACAATTAGAATCAGATATGCATATCAAAAAGCAACTATATTTGATAAAATTAATATGTTTATATAACTTCAATTGAATATACTTATAACTTTAATTAATATAAATTTATTAATGCAATAAAGTTGTGATCACAAGAGTTATTTATTATTTTAGCAAAACATATACAAATATATATAATATTTACAGTTCTTTCTAATATTTTTTTATGATTCTTTGTATCTGTCGGATCTTAAAAAAATAATAAGAAATATAATCAATATGAAAAATTGTTAATATATTCATTACACAATAAATAAGTTAATTTAGCATAATAATAAATCAACATATAATTGTTTTAACTTAAGAGTTTACCTTCTTTTAGAGGATCGTAGAGGGGCCTTAACAAATGCCCATGAAACTTTTATACTTAAACCGAGCATGTCCGTGTTATTCATTTTTTGCAAAGCAGAATTTGCCTCATCAAAAGTTTCATATTCGACTAAGGCATAACCCTATTTTGAAAAAATAATTATTAAATGCATTTTTATCACGAGAAAAATTTAAATATTTTTGTAATAATAATAATCAAAACAATATTGAATATTTCAATAAATAATATTTCTGAGGGGTGGGAGGCTGTTATTTGGATTTTTCCGTTCATATATTTTATTGAAAAAATTTAGACCCATTTTTGCAAGTTTTCAGCAATTGCGATTATCATTCTTTATAGAATCTTATATAAAATGATTAATCATAATTTCAACAGTTTCCCGGGAATCCAAACAGTAAAGAATATCTGTTCAGATTCATAAAAAATGATAATATCGGTTCGGTTTGTACATTTAAAAACTGGTTCAAACCTTTTCTCATATTTAGAATTATGAAAAGAAAAAACATTTTAAAATTTTATCACTATTCTCTAAAATATAATTAATGTTTTTAAGATTATTTTCTGTCAAATTATATGAAGAAGAATAAATTTTATGACTTAAAACACTTCTATATGGTAACTTGAGTAGCTGGCCCCGTCAAATAGAAATCAAATTACAGCATTTTTTTAGGGTATTCTGGTTATAAATGTGTATATTTCAAAATTGGCACAAGATTACCAGATATTTTTAATACATACCTACCTTGCAATGTTAGTAACACTTAAATATGTTATCAAATACAAATATTTTAAGGAGCTGGTATTGGCAAATAAAATCAGCCTATATTTTGGATCGAAAATTTTAAACTGTGATGTTATATCAATATTCCATGATGTTGATGCACAAAAAATAGCCAATCTTGTGCCAATTCTGTACATATTTATTAGCTCATTTTAATGGATCTAGGATCACAACACAGAAAATAATTCTCCAAAAAAAATTGCCTGTTTTTTAGATCCTATATAATATTAAATTATTTTTAGAAAATTAACAAAATAAGAAAAAAAAATTTCAAATAAATAAAATTACAAAATTATGAATAATAACTAGGATTAATATCAAACCTAACCAATATAATATTATGACTTAATCCCTAATACAAGTTTGGTAAAAATTAAACAAAACAATATTTATAAAATAAATGAATTAGATCCTTAGTCTGTGATATTAAGCAAAATATTATTATTATAAGCTAAGGTAATGATAATGGCCAGCCCAGATTTTTTATTCTGGCCCGAATTTATAAATAAATATCATTTTTTGATACGGATCTGCACTATTTTAATTAAATCCTAATGTTTTTTAGATTCAAATTTCCTCGAAGATTTGAGGTTTTAAAAATTAAACGAAAGTTAAATAAATCTAGCTCACCTTTACATATTTTCATCAACTTTTAGATATTTATTGAAAATCAAATTAAACAAATTATTAATTATTTCCATGAAGTTTTTAGAAATATATTAATAATTTAAATATCGGTTGGAGATAAGAGGCTTGTATAATTTTATTATATATAATATATGAAGTATTTTTTGATAATTTTTAGAATATAAGATATATTTTGTGCTATGTCACAAATTTGACATTTGTATTAGTTGGCAAAAATAATAGAATGACTTTTACACTCTTAAATAACGCCCTTTTTTGTTTTTAAGCTAAGGATGGACTATTAAATGATATAATTTTATATATAATTCAATCGTGAAATAGGAAATTTGCAATTCCTGAAATGGATGTTTTTTGATTAAAATAGTCAGAATTTTTCATTACTTTTTGCAGTATTTAATTTAATTGGGCAGTAAAAAATATAATCTATCAAGTTTTATATTGATTTTGTATTCAGCCAGTTAAATTCCAGAAATCGTAACGTTGAATACATTCCATATTTCAGATGTAAACAATGGCTCTACTTGCCTTTGCTAGTTTCATTTATTTCTTAACTCTCCATTCACATAATTTTTATTAAAATATAACAATAATTCTGTTTTTATCCGATACAATCGTCTTTAAATACTCCATCCCTTGAACATCATGTACAGGCAGGAATGCTTATCCATTGATCATTGTTGAAAATAAATATTTTTTGCAGCTATATGTAATTAGGATACACCATAAAACGCTGTTTGATACAGGAACATATTTTTTGTTATAAATAAAAACGTATACAACATATGAAGAAATTTTTCGGTTCGGTTCGAATTTCTAAAAACCGGTTTGAACAGTTTTATATTCAAACCTACATTCGAATTATGTATAGGGAAGAATATTTCTTTTATTTCATCATTAAAATAAAAAACACATAAAACCTCATTTTTATTAATTGCACATTATAAAATAATATTTAATTTATAAATATAACAAATAAATATCAATGATTAATTTTAATATGAATAATTACTTAAAATATTTTTATTAAGCTGCACAATTAATACATTTTCAAGATTTGTCTCACTCAAATTACAAATATAAAGGGATAGTATAAATTTAATCGTTGAAAAACATCTTTCCACACTAACCTGGGTAGCTGGCACTGCCAGTATGATATCAAATAATTTATATAATTCTGGGTAACAATTGCTCTGATTTCTCCAATAATTTAAAATATTCATATTTTTATTTAATCTAGGTTCTTTAGAAAAATTAATTAAAATATTTATAATATTCTCTTATGATTTTTGTAATAGATTTTGATTGTTAGCATCTTTTTCTTTAAGAAGACTTTCTACTAAGTCCTCTTCAGATGATGATACATTAACTGGTGTTGATTCACTTTCGCTAGTATCCTCCACTCTTATAACAGAGTTTAATTCTATGTTTTGCCATATTTTAATAATAATAGCTTAAGTTTTTTCTTCTTCAGTCAAAAGCACTTGATATCTATATAATAAAAATTAAAAATATCATTAAAAAATTTTTATTATTTTTTATGAATAGATGGGAGAAAATATAAAGTAAAATAGATTTGTTTTTTAAATTTATATAACATATAATATAATATCTTTAAAATATACCTTAAATCTAGATATAGTAGGCATGACAAAAAGGCATTGTTGTTAAAAGTTTTTTTTCTCTAAAATTCATGGCATCTATTATTGAACCAGCAAAGGGTGAAGTAAATAGAAATGTCTAATTTAGCTTTTAGCCATATGCCATAAAAATCCCCTAAAGTAAGCTGCTCAAGTTGTAAGTTTTTGGTCGCTATCTTAATTGGTTTTAGAATATTTATCAACCCTATAATTGCTCCCCATTCCAAAGCTGTTAAATAAAGTTGGCTGTATGATACTGATAATTCCTCACATATATCTTTTAATTCATTCAATCTCTCTAGCATGTCATAGGTTGATAACCATATATGACAATCCAATATAGGTCTTTTTAAATTTAATTTTTTTAGTATAATTGATATCGATTTTGTCCTTAGCTTCTTGCAGGCAGTACGAGCTTTAATAATAATATTAGAAACTGAGCAACTTTTTAATGCATGATCTACCACAAGTAGTTAAGTATGAAAAGCACATCTTATATTTATAATATTATATTGAGAATCATTAAGATTGCTTGTTAATTTATCAGGTGCATTTATGAAACTAGTAGAAACATCATTATTCTTATGTTAATGAAGTATATATATATATTACATTTTATATAATATAAAATATAATTAAACAATTAAGAAGAAATTTTTAGTGCCTTCTCCTTACTAGTCTTATCTGGATTAATAAGGGTTTGTCAACTTACTTGCCAAAAATACCCTTCACGATAATAGTTTATATATATATATACTTATTGCATTCAATATGAACAAATATTTGAAATAAGTGTGAATATACTTTTTTTAAATTATATTAATTTCCTTATTATTATAATTTATGTGCTCACTAAAAAATTTAATCCTGCTAGATGAGGGTTTTGTATATTGTTATCATGTAAACAGATTTTGGATTTGGACTTATTAAGAATGAGCCTATTAAAATTGGCTTCAAGAAATTGAAAACCAATAATTTTAGGAAAGCATCTTATATTGTTCCATCATCAAGATACCTTAAATTTAAAACCAAGGTAAAATAAACGAGAACGCGCCCCCCTGAAGGATTCTTTAGTCAGAATCTATGACATGTGGGCTGAATAAAGGAGTTTTAATGTTACAGTATGTCTCTAGGAATTTTGAGTAAACAGGAAATTTGGGATAAAAACAATTTATGAAATTTGTTATTGAAATCATTTTTAAAGTCTACTTTATAATAGCCATGTCAGGAGGAGTATTTTGGATATAATACAAATGGCATGTGAAGCTATTTTGCCTTATCCCTTAACACCAAATCCTAATTTATACGTATACTTAATAAGTTAAGCCCTGGGTATTCTGTGGCAATTATTATTGCTAATAATCTTCTAAATAGCCCATTGCAATGGGGTAGATACCACCAGTGTTTGTGAGATATCAGGTTTGCCCTATAATTGATTCGAATCTATGATGGCAGGTCTTTTTTAAAAGAGTGGGAATCGCACCAAACCCAGAGAAGAAAACCCGGGTTTTTGAAAGAAAATCTGAACCCGAACCCCGTTTATAAAATTTTCAAAACCCCGAACCGAACCCGGTTTTATTTGAACCAAGGTTCAGCCGTGTTCAATGATATTTGTATAATTGTAAATGCAAATATTAATAATTTAATTGAGATTTATAATATTTTCAAATTTCCAATAAAGTGAAGTGTTAATAAATTTTAAACAATTTAATTCATTTACGCCATTTTTAAAATTTTTTCTCAAAGATTTCTATTGGAATGTTAATAAATTTTTAACAATTAAATTCATTTATGCCTATTTTTAATTTTTACCTTATTTTCAAGGATTATTAATTGAGGAAAATGAAAGTGAACAAGTCAAAGTAAAAATTATAATATTGGATATTGTTAATTTTAAGAATTCTCAAAATCTAACTTAAAAATTGTTAAACAAAGATGTAAGGCAATTTGTAAACTTTTGTATTTTATGATTCTGATGAATGTAGATTTTATACGAAGTGGAAGGGCAAAAACCATAGTCTGGATGTTGAAAATTTGTTAAAAGAATTGTTAAATAATAACTCACAAATCATATTTTTTTTTATTCCATATTCTTTAGAAATCTTGGAAGAATGAATATGGATAATCTATTCCTCTCATTTGACTATTCTGATTCATCCATCGTCAAACGAAAGTAAAATTTATTATTTATCCATAAGGCAAAAATTCTGATTCCCTGTCATTCTTGATGGGTTATCAGCTAGTATTTTATATTCTAAAAATTATCAGAAATAGGCCTATATATAGCATGACAAAATAATACTAATAGAAAAATTGGCCAACTATTTTTGAAGGCAATTGTAAAAAGCCTCTTATCTCCAAGTGATATTTATTAATATATTTCTAAAAACTTCATGAAAATGATCAATAAGAGTAATAATAAATATTTTTTTATAATAAAAATTTGACTTTCATAAATCCTGACCAAAATAAAAAAATCTGGGCTGGCCATTATAATAATAATATTTTGCTTAATATTACAGAGACTAGGTTTCCAATTCATTTATTTTATAAATATTGTTTTGTTTAATTTTTACCAATCCTGGGTTGGGGATAAGGCCATATCATTATACATTATATTGGTTAGGGCTAATTATAAAAATTTGGTTAGGTTTAATATATAATATTGTTTGACAATTTTATTTGGGAAAATTTTATAGGAATTTTTTTTTGTTGATTTTCTCAAAAATTTTAAATATTTTATTGAGAATTTTTTTATTTTGTTTATTTCCTAAAAAAAATTTAATATTTTATAGGATCTAGAATTATTTTCCAAGGGGATTTTTATTCCTGGGTAGTAATCTTCTGAGGAATTATTTGGATTTGTGTATTAGAGTCTAAAATAGTGAAAAGAAAATATGTGGATCAACTGAGAGAAGCTCACATGCAGGTAAAAAAATACTAGTTGTAGTTATTGAATATCTAGATTACATAGAAGGAAAGGTTATAAGTAGGTTGTAACTATCTTATTCTTACTATACATATCAATTGAAAAATGAAATGTTGATGTTTTATATATTTACTTTGCTGATTAAGGGATAATGTCAGAGTAAACTTCTTTTATATATTTAGAAGTTATTACTCCTTTTTAAATTAACTAAATTCAAAAATATTTTTATTTTCCTGATGAGTCTTTTACATAATTAGAAGTTAGAACTCTATTTTTAAATAAGCTAAATTCAAAAGGAAATATTTTAAAAAATATTTTTATTTTCCTGGGAGTAAAAAAATAACAGCAGTACCATCTTTCTACTAGAATTGTTAAAGTAGTTCGTACAAGTAGTGCACTATCTTTTTTAGTAGCTATAGCTAATAGCGTGATACTTTTTTTTCCAATTATTCATTTTTTTAGCGTGCTCCTTTTTTTGAATGTATTAAATAAAATGAATGTAACATAAACATTAAAATTTAAATATAATATCATAATTAATTATAATTTTTATAATTTATATTTAATTTTGAAATTTATAATTTCAATTTGTATTATAAACCTAAATCATCTGGAGTAAATTATTTAAAATGTCATAGCAAATGAATATCCAAATGGATGTAAGTGAGTCAGACAATTATGATATTAATGAAATGGAAGGTACCCTGGAAGAAAATGTTCTTGATAACAATAATATAAATTTTTTATTTCCAAATGAAAAATATTTTCAAATTAGTAAAAACAAAAGGTAGCTACAAATTTATTTGTTCAAACTGTAAAAAATTATAATCTCAAATAGATCTACAGATATAACCTCAAAGATCCCCTAAAGGTAATTGTCATTTCAATTTCTAATATTATTATTATTTTGTAATAAAGTTCATGCCAACAAAAGAGATAGAAAACATCTTAATAATTTGGTACATGGGATGCTACATCCAAAAAAACCAATTCAATTCCAGCTAAATTGTTTAATAATATTGCATATGCCAATATTTCTCAGAAACTGGCTAATAAAGTTATAGTCGATTTTATAATTGATACAGTTGACCCAATGTCATTGGTTGATAATCCATTTTAAAATAATAATTAAAACTCTATCCCATGGTACAACAAATTTTTGTTGCCAGACACTACAGATTGAGATAGCAGATAGAGATGCCCTCGTTAAGAACGACTTCCGATAATTTTTTTGAAAAAAGGATACTAATATAGACGCGTTTTTTAAATTTAAAAATACAAATGAGTATTTTTGATAATTAAAATTAAAATATGTAGATAAAATTAAATACTGACTTGTCCTCAAATGCTAGTGTTGAGATCATTTCATATGGTGAAACTATACTTTCTGATCGTCGCTCTAAACTTGGGGATGATATTATAGAAATGACTTTATTATTAAAATGCAACAAAATAGTTATTTTCATTATATAAATTTTTTATAATCTAAACTAACTATATTTACATTTTTATAAATGTTGATTTTTAAATATTATAAACTATGCAATTACATTATAAGCAAATAAAAAAACAAATTTATTTCAAATTTTTTTATATTAAAAGTAGCCTATTTGATCGGTGGTGATAGTGCGCTACTGGTAAAAGTTAGGGTTTAACAACTGTTTTCTACTATACCCTGTCTGAGGTCTTAGAAATTTTTTATAATACCAATATCTGTTTACTAGTGTCCTAGTTTTATATTAATATTTGTTTAATTATGAAAATGTTTTTTTGTAAAAATGTCAATCAGGAATTTAAAAAAAACGGATTGATTTATAAAAATGAAGATAAAATTTAAAAAAAAAATTAATTTTTACTGGACTTTTATTTAGAACAATATGATTAACTTTTGCAAAAGTTTGACTTTATATGTTTTTAATAAATAATAAAGATAGAATTATGGCTTATATCTTGTTTTATAGATAAAATCAGTTAAAGGTTTTTTTAAGTTAGTAAATAATCATTGGTTCTAAAATTTTTACATAATTAACTATCCTCTTTATAAACTAGGTAAAAAAATTAAATAGAATCATTTCTGAAATTAAACACTTTTAACTCATCTCAAACATTAATGGCAACATTTTTATATTAAATAATTGACATATCAAGCCAATCTTCTAGTTTGACCGTTGTGTAACTCATTGGCTCACCTAAAGTCAGGGTCGTTTTACTAGGTTCATGCTCAACCAAATTTGTGGCTAAGTTGATATCTGAGAAAATTTAACAACTCTGCACCATTTATACCAAATATTTGTTAACTCCAAAGGCAACAAACCACTTTTTATCTAAAGCAATGCAGAACATTCCTGGGAGATACAGTGCAATGACACCATAAGACAGACTTTGAAATCCACCAGTATTCACTCAACCACTAAGTGGACTTTGTTCAGATAGGAATGTCCAGATTGATCCTTTGAAAGAAAGGTAAATTTTGACCCTGAAGGGTTTCCTGCATTGATCCTCTTGAACCACCCAATGCAAATTAGAGATATATAAATCCCAGATTTTGGGATGGATCAGAAAATTTAAAAAAAATTATAGCAAGCCAGGAGTGGCAATTTGCACATAAAATTTTTGGGCCAATACAGACAATTTGTGGACAAAAAAATTTCAGGCTAGACAATTTTTAGATAAAACATCAGGCAGGAATAATGGGTCAGCTTGGGCATTTAAATTCAATATATTTCTTTGAATCTCAAGTTAGTATCAGTTTGATTAATGCAATTTGATACTAAATAAAATATGCTTATTTCCTTGTATTTAAACTAAAATACTAAATCTATAAATTCGCAAAAACAAAATAGATGGCCAAAGAGAAGAGATGTAAGAGCTTTAATTGACATTGGGAAAAATTATTAGATATTAAAAAAATGGATGGTTGGAAAATTAGTAACAAAATTTAATGGGCATGGATGAACTATTTGTAAAACGTTAAGTGAATAGGTTTGACTTTTTGTAAAATGTTTACAAACCAAGCAGCAAATTTAAAAAAAATATATAACAGGTTGAGGAAAAAAATTTTCAGGCTGATCTGGATAACTTGTGCATAAATTGTTAACAGGCCAAACTGAGTTATGCTTTGGACTGTAAATCATGATGCTCTTGTAGATGCTGAGCTAAATACACAACATCTGTTAACCACATATACTTACTCCAACATTTTTTTTAAACTCTCCCTTCTTTAAAGAGTTAAGACAATGGACCACCAGTAAGGCCATGGACCCAGGCAGAGCATGCCACCTTCAACAGAGGCAATCATTGACAAATTATATCATGAGCTAGATATAAAATGACCATGATGTCATTTAAAACAAGATATAAGTATATTATATATTTCATAAGGATTGTAGTAGCAAAAAACATATTTTTTCATCCTTATATTGGATTCATTTAATTAATGGGCTACTCTAGTAAGCACATTGATAGCTTTTTTATTAAGATCGGAAACAGACATTTCTGGGAGAACTCATTGGAAGTGGCTTTTGGTGAGGTCTTAGTGTTTTTAGACTATTTTGATATAGTCCTTTAACACTGGAGACTTTGATCAAAGGTTGAAATCATAGATTTTGATAAAAACAAATTTAAACATATTATTGAAACATCATATATATATTATCCATTGCATCAAACAAAAAATTGTAATTTATACTTTATTCAAAATCCATGCAAGTATAATAATTGTGACATTATTTATTCTATTTCTAAGATTTATTAATAATTTTTTTCTGTCTAAATAAACAATTTTCCATATACAATAAAATTAGAAATGAGATTTAATAAAAGAAAAAATTTTCAAATCAATAAAACAAAGGCTAACTAATAGAAATTGGAATAACATTTACCAAAACTAATGCTATATTTAAATCAAACCAAATTCAATATTATTTGAAATTTAGGAAGGGCAGACTGGTAGATTAGAACAGTATGTAGAGTATATTTTTTCTTTACTGATATGTATAAAACTAATTAAAATATACTTTCATATATCCTGTTTTCCGATCTAAATTAAGGTGCAAATTTTTTACGACTCCAAATTCCATAAATTTTTCTGCAAAAAAAGCTTCATCCATTTCCTCGTGAACATTTGTGACAAAAAGGATCCAGCCTTCAACAGCTAATTATTTTTTATTAATAAGAAAATATTTTATCTATCAAACATTTCTTAGGTCCGGGTGAATTATCTTCTATATCCATATTATCGTATTCCTCGTAATCACTTTTAACCTTATTTTCTAAAAATTATTATAAATAAAAAATAATTAATTTTACCATCCGGGACAAAGCCACGGCCTTTCTTCTTAGTAGCATGTTTTTTCAAAGCATCCACATCTATAGGCACAAAAATATCTATCTATATATATATATATATATAAACTGTACCTGTTTCAACTTCAGAATTAAATCCATCTTCATCACCAATTCTTATATCGTCATCCATGTTAAATTTATTTATAATCCGCGATATATGGAATATAGAAAATTATTTTTCGACAATAGGATAATTTTTTGTTTTTATAAATTTATCTTTAAATTACAGAATACGTGGATAGTCAGGCATTGTCAAAATAAATTAATTTCTGATATATCAATAAAGATTCTAAAATTATGATAAAAATAATGCAAATAATTAAAGTAATTCTCAAATAAGGAATATATAAATAAATTGGGCATTCACTTATTTTAATGAGTTGTATTGTCCTAGACATATATCAATTATTTTTTTAGTAGTTTTATATAATTATATTCATTATTATTATATTATCGTTTAGTTTTATTAGAACCCTTAAGAGCCCTTTTTAACTTAAAATTCAAGATAGGCAAGAGAGAGAAACGACAAGTGTTACAGAGATATTTTTCGATCTTATTATGTTAGACATTACAATTTATTTATGAAATAAATATCCCATGGAAAATAAGATTGGGAAAATTTTTGTATTTTTATAATACTTCTTTATTGGTATCTAGACAAAAATTTGCTGGTATTACTTTTAAATTGATATTAAATAAAACCCCCCAATTTATTTAAAATTTCTCTAAAATTATGTCGGAATTCTTCTTCCATTTAAAAAAGTGCGAGCCCTAAAAATTTGCGAATAAACAATACTATAGGCACACTTAATTTTTAATAAAGTATATTAACATTTTCAAATAAATCGTATAAATTATAGTTAAAAAAGGAAAAGGGGACATTTCTATATACATAAAGATAACATTTATATAAAAAATTATATTTTTATGATAGGTCAAAATCAGGCGCGTAACCAATGGGAAGGGGGAAGGGGGAAAATCCCCTTCCCCATCGCAAATTTGACTGTTTTCATAAATATCATTTTAAGCTAATAAAAATTTTACCCCCCGCCTACTTACCCCCCTACCCCCCCCCCCCTTTCAATGTAAATTTTAAAAAAATTTGAATATCAATTTTCCAACATAAAACTTATTTTTTATATATAATTTTTCTTTAAATTTCCTTACCTTGTGAGTACATTAACATTATTCAAAAATCTATATTATAATTTTCCGATGTCCTCACTACGTCATCGTGACGTCATGTCATCGCTACGTCATGTCATCGGAATATATTTATTTTTATTTTTTTTATTTGTTGATTTTATTTATTTATTTTATACAAACAGGTGAATAGAATTTCGAGAATTGATGGTGTACACATACCTAACATAGATTTAGAGATTTGAAAAATCTTTGAATTGATAAAAACAATATTCTCTCAACTTTGTAAATATGAATGATACTTTTTATTTCACTTAATACTTTCTTTATTTTTTAGATTACCTTATCAATTTTTATATCATATTATCAATTACACATTAATGAAATTTCTACAAGATATTCAGCTTGTATATTTATTTTGAACATACTCACAATTTTTGTCAGTACTTGCATTACAATTTTTTATGCTCATATTTTTCTTTCATAACCAATAATTAAGAAGATAGCCAAGTATATTCAAATATTTAAATATTCTTATCCTAACATATTTATAATCTTCAATCCTTATAAATAACTCTTTCTTTAATTTTTTCCCCTCCCTTAATGAATTTATTTATCACTAAATTTTATTATCTCATTCTTTTCTTTCTATCTCTATTATCTATCTATTAACCACTATTTCTCAAAATCTTATCAAAAACTTATCAATTCCTTTAATTTAATTTTTATTATTTTTATAATATAATAATTTTTACCTTCTTTTTCCCCCCTTTTTTAATCTTATTTTTTAATTACCTTACAATTAATTAACCTTAATCTTAATAACATTACATTCATCATGTTATTTTTTAACTTTTAGAATATCATAAAAGGCTTGATAAGTCTACAAAAATATTTTTTTGATGATAGCCCTCCAACAACTAGAAATATGCATCTAATATTCACCTATTTACCGGTTTTACATTATTTTAATGTTTGTTTAATTTCAACAATAGTTTATTTATATTTTTGCCTTATTTCTTTATTTGTCTAGGCCAACCCTAATTCCTCACATTCCTACAAAACATGATGAATCTATTATTAAAGATAAGCAAAGAAAACAATGACGATTAAACAAATACCTTACCCTTTCTAGAGTTACTGGTAGACAAAATAATAAAGAACTAGGCTTGAAATAAACTCATCTGGAGGTTTATTTTGTATTTTTTATATTATGTTTTATATCTATTTATTTCTCCAAATCACCACTACCACAATCCCTATGCCTCCGCCTATTTTTTAACAAATATAAACATTTAATTCTGTACTATCATTCACTTCACTAGGAGTTAATATAAATATTACTTTATCCGATTCTCTGAGAAACTTTCATGAATATTTAGAGTAATGTTCAAACTTGAATGTACAGTACGGCCAATTTCATCAACTTTATTAATGGAAAAATATGTAGTAGTTCTGTCGTGGCCTTTAAAACAATACTTACGACCGTTTTATGGTTGAGTTAACATTGTCGTTCATGATTCTATTTTAGAAGGGGATACCAATGCTGACGTTGACAGAAATATCGTTTTGCGTGTTCAAACTTGAATGTACAGTACGGCCAATTTTATCAACTTTATTAATGGAAATATATGCAGTAGTTATGTCGTGGCCTTTATAACATTACTTACGACCGTTTTATGGCTGAGTTAACATTGTCGTTCATGATTCTATTTTAGAGGGGGGTACAATGCTGACATTGACAGAAATATCGTTTTGCGTTCTTCTTTTACCAGTATCCCAAGGCATAGGCATATCATCTTTATCAGGACGTAATGTGTTCTGTGCACTGCTTTGTTAATCCGTCATCACTTTCATCTACAACCCTAAATAATATAAAATTATACATTAATTATTTCCTCTCCAGACGACCGCCCAGATTTATTTTGTCGCTTTTTCCATCAAAAATTAAAATGTCAACAAGGATTTGCTCTTAATATTATCAAATACATAATAAATAATCCTCATTATTTTTTAAAAAAATTATCCTAAATTTATATATCAATAAAAAAAAATATCTTAAAAAATATATAAATAATTTGCATATAAGTTTCATTAGTGTTTAATGGTATTTTTGTAACTTAAATAGACAGAATTTTTTTTTTTACTTAACATAAAAAAATATATATCACTTATCAAATTCTTTGACAAATAATTTCAGAAATGCAAGACATACATTAAATTTATCTGAAAGACAATAATAACCCTATATAATAAACAACATATTTTTTAGATATAATTTTAATTGATCATATTACAAAAAAGTATAAGAGTCGGTTATTTTTATTTTATTTGTCATGATTCTCTAATAAGGTGTTGCCCAGGCCTTCCCAGTTTCCCTTAATACGGAATTTACATGTTTTTTTTCCATATTAGACTAATTGGTAAATCAGATATTTCCTGTTTATGTGATGATATTAAAAATTTAACTATCTCCGAGGCAGGAAAAAATTTTCAAAATTATAATAGGTAGGACCTTGGTCAAATTAATATTAGCTTGCACCTGACTTGGGAATATCTTTTACAAATTATTAAGGGTTGAGCTGGGCTTGATAAACTTTTTTAAAATTATAAGATCTTGGATGCTTCCCTGGCATGACATCTATCGTAAAAAATGAATAAAAATCTCATTTCCCGTCATTTTTGACGGGCTTTCTACTAGTATTAATAAAAAATGGAGAAATTTTTAGACAAAGATATTGAAATCAAACGGTATATAATTTATTATTAAATATATTTATTTTATGAAATTCAAATTTATTAGTTAGTGAGTTAGAATTAATAAATATTTTTAATAATTTTTTAATTATTATTAAATATCTAATTTTATATTTTTCATTTTTCTTTAGAACAGAAGATATACAAAATTTAAATACAATTTCCCTATATTTTGAAGTTATTTTATATTCTTGCATGTTTGCCTATTACAACATGCACGAATGAAAGGACATTTTCAAACTTGAGAAGGCTGAAGACATTTTTACGAAGTACTGCTTCAGAATCTCGGCTAAATGGATTAGCTATGTTAAATATTCATAGAGATTTAGTTTCAACGACGAACGAAATTCTAGATGAATTGGCAACATCCACACGAAAATTAAAAATTACATTATAGTTATAATGTTTAATAAACTTTTTGATAATATTGTAATTGATATAAAAACTTGCTTTTTAAATTATTTTCTAGTCAATATTTTATACGCTATTAAAAAAATTTATTCTACTTATATTGTATGAGAATTTAAGCTGAGGCTAGTTTTTAAAGCAAATTTTAAAATAAAATGACATTAAACTTTATTTCAACTTTACATTTAAAAAACTTTATTAAATATAACATACCTAACCTAAAATAATAAAAAAATAGGCTTGTAATATCGATATGCACAAATTAGTAAATAAAAATTAAAAATGCATATATAATTATTATTAAATTATGAATAATATAATATTATAGCTCCGGGCAAAAGCTGGCCGAAGGCCAGCTAAGGGGGTTTGGGGGCGAAGTAACCAAAAAAAAATCCCCCCCCCCCCCCCCATAAGAAAATCCTGGATACGCCACTGATCCCATCATATGCCTCGCTTATTATATTAACTGAATTAATATTTAACTCATTAATTTGCTTTAAAATGCAATTAGTAATGCTTTCAGCAGAAAGACACTGTAAATTAATAATTCCTATAAAATTTTCTTGGACTTCTCCAGAAAAAATATAACGAATAATTATGTTCAGGGTTTTTACAACCTTGTGCATCTTTTGTCTCATCAGTCTTAAGACTAATAAAAGGCATCTCTTGCTTGTTATATTTATCTGAAATATATTCAAGCACCATATCTGCCATAATAGATATTACTTCGTTTTGAATATGGGGTTATGTACATTGGGCAATTCAGGATCTTTTTGAATGGTGCATGAAAACATTGCTATAAATAGTCCAGAAGAATAAATTTTTTCATCAGTTGTAGCACCCGTAATTTTTGTTGAACCTATCTCACGAAAAGGTAGCTCCTGTATGCTAA